AAATCTCCGTCGTTGGACATCAAATCTCCGTCTTTGGACATCAAATCTCCGTCTTTGGACATCAAATCTCCGTCTTCAGACATCACACCTCCGTCTTTAGACATCAAATCTCCGTCTTAGACGTCAAATCTCGTCTCCAGACATCGGCTCACATCAGCCCTCAACGCCCAGCCCTTGCCAATGTCCAGCAGAAAAAAGACGTTGTTGAAGGTGATCATCCTCGGCGACTCGGGCGTCGGCAAAACGTCGCTCATGCAGCAGTTCGTCAACAACAAGTTCTCGCACCAGTACAAGGCCACCATCGGCGCGGACTTCCTCACCAAGGACTTGGTGATCGACAACAAAACCGTGTCCTTGCAGATCTGGGACACGGCCGGGCAGGAGCGGTTCCAGAGCCTCGGCGTGGCGTTCTACCGCGGCGCCGACTGCTGTGTGTTGTGCTACGATGTGACCAACGAGAAGTCGCTCAACAACTTGCCGTCGTGGAAAGACGAGTTCTTGATCCAGCTGAACGTGCAGAACCCGCAGGACTTCCCCTTCATTGTGATTGGCAACAAGATCGACGTTGACGAGAGCAAGAAGATCGCGTCGTTGCAAAAGAAGTTGATGCACGTGACCAAGAACCAGTTGGGCGGCCTGAACTACCCGGTGTTCGAGACCAGCGCCAAGGACTCGGTCAACGTGGAGTCTGCGTTCGAGGTCATTGCCAAGATGGCCTTGCAGCAGGAGGAGTTGACCGAGAGCTCGCGCAACGACGCGGGCGATGACTACAACGACGCCATCAACATCCACTTGGAGAACCCCGCTGGGGGGTGTGCGTGCTAGGCCCTTGGTACGTGCCGCCGGTTTGCCGGTTAGGCCGGTTCTGGCAGCCTGGCCCTATTTAATACCGTGGTTCAAAATCAACGCAAGGAAATACTGGTGGCCTGTAGACGTGCGTGTGCTGTGGACGTGGGTGTTTCTGTGGACGCGGATGTATTGTGGAGTAGTGTGGAGTTACAGTGGATTTGCTGTGAAGTTACTGTGAAGTCACTGTGAAGTTACTGTGAAGTTACTGTGAAGTTACTGTGAAGTTACTGTGAAGTTACTGTGAAGTTACCGTGAAGTTACGGTTGAGTTTCTGCAGATGTGGATATTCTTTGGATCTATTAGACGACTTGGCGGAGAGTTCGGAAATGACTCGTGTTCTTGCTTGGAATCACAGGGTCCTTCAAAACTCCGAAGAACGCCGAAACTAGGTCTCCCTTTCCTGAACTGCGGAAGCCCTACAAACTTGACAGTCCTGAGATACTCGTTGCGGTCGGCTCACGGCTCTTAGAATCGAGCATGTTGCTGTTTTCGACATGAATATATATTCCTTTTCGTTGATGTTTTCTTCTCTTTGCTTTTTTGTTTTTCCCAGCTTGAATTCCCGGCCGAAATGGCCTTGGTCTTCGTATTGATCGTGCGTTGTCGTCCACGCTTGCTTCCCTGAGCTCAGCCTCCAGAGTATGAGCAAGACAACAAGTACAATAGTCAAGATTTAACTGGAGTCAAGTAAATGGAAATGAAGTAATCAGTAATAGAGTCAACAGAAGTAGAGTTAGGAGAAGTAGAGTTACCTGGAGTAGAGTAAACAGAAATAAGTAAACCGAAGTAGAGGCAACAGAGCCAAAGTAAACATACGTAGAATCAACAGAAGTAAAGCCAACTGAAATAAATTCAACTGAAATAGACTCAACTGGAAGTATGGGCTCAATTAGTTAGAGCGCAAACAAAGAGCAAGTGTGGCTCAAACTAATACCGGAAGGAACACCACGATTAGAAATGAAGCCAAAACTAGATATTTTCATGTTACATAAAGTTACAAGTATAAAAGCAACTAAAAGAGTGTGTTTACGGGTGAATCCTCCTGCAAGAAAAAATCCACTATTAGAATGAATACACTACTAGAAGGAAAGCAAGTAATAGAGTCAAAATCACTGCAAGAAACGACACTATTGAAATTGAAGCCTTCACCAGAAGTAAATCTACCACTTAAATTAAAACTACTATCGGAATCAAAACCAATACCTGAAAAAAAATAATTGCTAGAAGACACTACTAGAATTAACACTAACAGAGCCAAAACCATTACCTGAAGAAAATTCACTGCTAGCCAGTCCACTGCTAGAATCAAAACTATCAGAACTAAATCATGAAGAAAATCCACTGCTTGTAGAATTGAAGACACCATCAGAATAAAAACCACTATCAGAAGGAAAGCCACTTATTGAGTCACTACTAAAGCAAGATCCATTACTAGAATTGAAAACACCAACAGGATCGAAACCACCACCAGGATCGAAACCACCACCAGAACTTAAACCACTACTATAGGGATAAATAATATGAGAATCCATTATTCGAAGAAAAGCCACTACTAGAAGGACAGATACTGTGAGAATCCATTATTAGAAGTAAAGCCACTGCCAAAAGGACAGATACTATGAGATTACACTATTAGGAGTAAAGCCACTACCAGAAAGATAAATACTATGAGATTCCATTATTAGGAGTGAAGCCACTACCAGAAGGACAAATACTATGAGAACCCATTATTAGGAGTAAAGCCACTACCAGAAGGACAGATACTATGAGAATCCATTATTAGAAGCGCACCACTACCAGAAGGAAATATACAACTATAAGTACACCACCATGAATAAGCGTTCGTCTATGATGAAACGTAGAAAGAAGTCAAACCCCCAAAAACACCCACATCCATAAGCAAAGCAAACCCGCACACAGTGCCCGGCCGGGCCCAGCCTACTATCCCACGCCCTACTTCAAGCAGTTGCACACCACCTTCAACAACAAATCCACCAACAGATTCCCCGTCTTGAATTCCTGCTGCTGGGGCTGCGGCTGGTATTGCGGCTGTTGTTGGTACTGGGGCTGCTGCTGGTATCCCTGGCCCATTGGCGACGAGTCCCAGTGGGACGGAATGTTCAGGTTCGATGTGTTCGTAAGTTCAATCACCATGACCCCGGCGTTGTGTGGATCCACGTAGTGCTTCAAGCGGGACTCGTCGCACATCTCGTCAATGGCAGGCTTCAACTTGGCCACTCCATTCTGCGAGTGCAAGCCTTTGCCCACTATGACCTTGATGTGCGGCTGGTTGGTGCGTATACACTCGCTGATGCGCCTCTGCAAAATCCACTTGGCCTCCTTCACGTACAAGCCGTGCAAATCGATCTCGTCGCTCTTGGAGTCCGTGTTGTTTTCGATGAAGACGTACTCTGCGGCCTTCTTGTTGCAGTTTTCGGCCTCCTGTAACACCTGCTTCAGCTGCTCGCTGAGCTCATGTGCCTTTTGCTTATCGCCTCTCTGGTACGCCTGCTGCGACTGCTGGGAAAGCTTGTTTTTCTTCTCGTACAAGTCCGACGCCTGTTGCCTATAGTCCTTATAGGTGGAGTCTGTGGCGTGGTTGTAGTCTCGCTCGTCGAAAAGAGCCGCGCCTCTTTCAAGAACTGAAGTCATGATACTACCTTGCCTGTGCTTTCTTGCACTTCTGCCGCTCACTCGGGTATTTGGCAGACGAACGGCTGAAACCAGACATCTGGTGGAGAAGGGCACTGTCTGTGCACCCGTACACCACCGGAATTGGTCCAGGACATTCCCAGATGAGGCTGGCCGGTCCTCCAACAGCCAGGTTCCGGAGACCAGTGCTACTTTTGCAAATGGGGCACATCGGCCCCGCACGAAATACTGGCCCCTTGGCCGACGGTGGCTTTTCACATGCTGCCAGGCACAAGACTCTACGAGACTACGGCGTTGTTTTCTAAAACACTGTATTAGTGGGATATGTGGAACCAACAAAAGCAGACTAGTCAGACTAGTTAACTTACTTCTTGGCAGCCTTTTGAGCAGCCTTGGTGACCTTACCGGCCTTGTCGGACTTCTCAACAGCCTTGATGACACCGACAGCAACGGTTTGTCTCATGTCTCTGACGGCGAATCTTCCCAAAGGTGGGTAGTCGGTGAAAGCCTCAACACACATTGGCTTGGTTGGGACCATCTTGACAATGGCGGCGTCACCGGACTTGACGAACTTAGGCTCGGACTCCAAGGACTTACCAGTTCTTCTGTCGATCTTCTCCAACAAGGTGTCGAACTTACAGGCAATGTGGGCAGTGTGACAGTCCAAGACTGGGGAGTAACCGGAGGAGATTTGACCTGGGTGGTTCAAGACAATGACCTGGGCGGTGAAAGAAGCGGCACCCTTTGGTGGGTCCTGCTTGGAGTCACCACAGACGTTACCTCTTCTGATCTCCTTGACGGAGACGTTCTTGACGTTGAAACCAACGTTGTCACCTGGAAGACCCTCGACCAATTGCTCGTGGTGCATCTCGACGGACTTGACCTCAGTGGTGACACCAGCTGGGGCGAAGGTGACGACCATACCGGCCTTGATGACACCGGTCTCGACTCTGCCGACTGGCACCGTTCCGATACCACCGATCTTGTAGACATCTTGCAATGGCAATCTCAAGGCCTTGTCGGTTGGTCTCGAAGGTGGCTCAATGGCGTCAATGGCCTCCAACAAGGTCTTACCGGTGGACTTACCGGCCTTGGTCTCCTTCTCCCATCCCTTGTACCAAGGACAGTTGGTGGAGGCCTCAATCATGTTGTCACCGTTCCAACCAGAGATTGGGACGAATGGCACAGTCTTGGGGTTGTAACCGACCTTCTTGACGAAGTTGGAGGTCTCCTTGATGATCTCCTCGAATCTGTTCTTGTCCCACTTGACGGAGTCCATCTTGTTGACAGCAACAATCAATTGTCTGACACCCAAGGTGTAAGCCAACAAAGCGTGCTCTCTGGTCTGGCCGTCCTTGGAGATACCAGCCTCGAACTCACCGACACCACCGGCGATAATCAAGATAGCACAGTCAGCCTGGGAAGTACCAGTGATCATGTTCTTGATGAAATCTCTGTGGCCTGGGGCGTCAATGACAGTGACGTGGTACTTTGGAGTCTCGAACTTCCACAAAGCAATGTCAATGGTGATACCTCTCTCTCTCTCGGCCTTCAACTTGTCCAAGACCCAAGCGTACTTGAAAGAACCCTTACCCAACTCAGCGGCCTCCTTCTCGAACTTCTCGATGGTTCTCTTGTCAATACCACCACACTTGTAGATCAAGTGACCGGTGGTAGTGGACTTACCGGAATCGACGTGGCCGATGACAACAACGTTAACGTGAGACTTCTCTTTACCCATGGTGAAATACTATGAAAATCTTGAGAAAAAAAGGGAAAAAATAGCAGGCGGCGCCTGTGCGGATGACGCGGTTTATATATTGCAGATTTTTTCTTTCTTTTTTTTGCGGCAATGCGATAGGAAAAAATTTTCCCTGGTCTTTTTCTCTGCGGCGTGTACACAGCGCGCAGTGGCAGTCGCCGCGCGACATTAAATCGGCACCGGGACGACATCCTGGGGGCTGCCAGGACAGCGGCTGCCGCCTCAAAAAGAAACCACCCTCGGCTGCCTCCTGGCGGCTGCTTAAAAAATTCGTCGAGTCCGAGCCGTTTTTCAATGGGTGGCAGGGGCCCAGCAAACGTGGCCAGAAATATATTGTGTGCAGGGCCGCTGGTCGTGCGTGCGCTGCTTCTGCTCCGCTGGGCATCGCAGAATGGGTGCGCGACATTTTGGGCGCAAGCTCTCCTGGTGATTGGAAGCCTGGCTGATGAAAATCCCATCACGTGACTCGCCTCCGGCGTGTTCCCAGCCAAAACCAGTGGTTTCGGCATACAAATAGAAGAATCCAAAGAGCATTGCCTTGCTGCGCGGGTTGCTCTGGCGTCGAGGCCTGGTGGTTATTTGCGGTTGTGTGCAGAGATGGAATAAGACAGACCCTTTCCAGTTTTGAGGTCCCCCCGCCTTCATAGGAGTCTAGCAGAGGCGTCATAGCTCTTTTATTTTCAATCTTACAAACACAGAATGCTGTCTTTATTCCAGCACCAGCCATCACAAATACCAAACCCACAAAAAATAAAAGGTGCCAATTTTCAGTAGAAGCAAAAAACATGTCGATTGTTTTTCCCATGTCTTTTGTATCTCTTACATATCCCTTATATATCATGATGCATTTCTATCGCCCTAGACCCCGAAAGACCATGTCGATGTCTGTTAACGCGCACGCCTTTCGATTGTCTAATGTCGTCTGTCTGCGTTTTCGCAGCTATCTGCCCGACGAAGCCAGAACCGCACGCCATGGACAATACATCAAATTAAAGATTTGAGAAAATTGCCGTGCAAGATCTTTTTCGTACCTTTCCTTAAATCACGCTTAGCTTGGCGGGCCACGATTTCTAGTGAGTCTTGAAAGATTTTAGATTTGAAGTCGAAAATGCCGACATGCTGGAGTATTCTATGTAATGTTGCACTTCGACAAGAATATTTTTGTTCTATGACAAAATATGAGCACAGTGCGAACTATTGTCACCATGTTTATTAGCACCACCAAAATTTGAAAACAGACCCGTTTATCGTTTTGCGGAGAAACAGTATAATCCAGCCTATCCTCTATTCACTGACTGAGCCACATTCTGCGGAATTTCGCAAGTGCTTCTGAATCTCTGCTTTTGAACATCCCCAATATCTCCCGTATGAGACCATGCGCGCGCTTGCATAATGGAGGTATGCGGCAAGTACTTATAGTCGTCACCAAGCGTGCCGTGACCATGAGAGTTGACAGGCCCATTGCCAATAGAAGACTCAGAAGAAAGATGAATGAATAAATATATACGCTAGTCCTGTTTGCGACATCAGCCTCCGGTTCTTCGATCCTCCTCACGGCACAACGTAGTTTTCAACGAGTAGAATACCCCATACAGAGGAATATTGAACCTGTGGCGTGGGTGCCATTCCTCAGCCTCGGGTTCTTCTCCTTTTCGGAAGCCTCTCGTGCAAATCTTCGACCTTCTTCCAAAGATCGTTTTCGCCCATATTGGAGCCCGCACTGCCGTAGCCGACCTGGGTGAGGTTTTCGTCATTGATGCTGATATCGGCCTCGCCATCCCCATCACGGTCCTCAAGCGCATCGCCCTCCTTCGACCGAAGGATCTTGTCAGTGAGGGATTCTCCGCCCCCCACCAACCTGCCGTACCTGTGCTTGTCTTTTGACTTGCGCGGTGACGGGAGCTGTACGCGCACGTCCAGAGGTTCCTCGTCGCATGCCAGGACGTCTCCCCCCTGCTTGTGTCCCGTGCCACTGGCAAAGTCTATTAGCGACGAGAATTTGCCACTTTTGTTCGGCGCAAAGATACACCATGCGCGGTCGGAGATTTCGGGGAGCTTCAAGTTGGGCTGGTCACCCAGGATTTGAACCATCTCCCATAGGTACGCCGCTGACACAACTGGGATGTTCCATTTCTTGGCGGCATTGATCTTGTTGCGGGTCGACATCGCCGACACCGAGCGCGAGTCATCGCCGTTGGTGTAGACAGGGCAATCCAAGAGCTCGGTGGGCGCGTAGTCGAAGAGCGCCGGGCTAGCGGCGGTTAAGGTTTTACGGAAAACGTTGATGTTGACAACAAGTAGGTCACGCTTGGAGGAAAACACATCGCAGAACTCGAGGTTGAGAAGGCCAACCAACTTCTCAATATGGAGGAGCTCCACACCCGTGAAGCCGGACACGCAGACCTTGAACCGCCGGAGCAGCGGCACAAGGCCTGGCATGGGACGGCACCATGCGTCCTGGCGGAGAGCATTGTAGTACACGCTGCGCTCAACAAACCAGTCGGTGACCACGGCGATCTGCTTGGCGCTGACACGCCGTACCGTGGCGCGCGGAAGCATCAGAAGCATGAGATGGGCCTGTGGACCGTCGCGCACGCGCAACAAGATATGGGAGATTGTCACGTCGTCGGAGGCGGTGGCGACCGCGCCCCGGTGGGACTCCACAACCCGGCGGAGGAGATTCTGCTCGGGCACAGAGAGGCCGACGGGAAGGAACGTGAGTCCACGGAAGAGCTGCGGCCCGGGGTCGGCATCGGAGCCAGTGCCCGTGTGCGTCTCAGAAGCAGCCCTGGCGCTAGAGTCAACTGCCGGTTCTAGACCAGCCCCCGACTCAGGGTCAGCGCCCGAGCCGAGCGCCAGCGCCTCGGCCCACGAGCTACTGCCCTGCACCTGCTTGGCCACTGGGACATGTGTGCTGCTCATGATAGACGTCCAGACGTCGGAGGTTTTTTTCAACACGGGTCGCTCGCGCTTCTCCACAACTGCAACCAGTACACGCTCGGGCCGGAGGCGCGTTAAGTAGAGGCTCTTCCACGCAAACAGCGTGCTGCTGTAGAGGTTGGGTGCACCGGGCGTCAATTCATAGTCGTCCAAATGGAGCGCGGCGCCACGGAGGCACGAGTCGTAGACCCACATGGGGTGCACCACGGGCACGTGCCACTCAAGCGCCATGCGGTAGCGCTTGCCCTCGGCGGCGGTGCCCACCAACACGGCACAGTCGGAGGTGAGCGTGGCGCTGACGTCGGCGCCCAATTCTTGCATGGCGCCGATCAAGTCGGTGGCCAGAAACGGGTCCTGCGGCACGACTGGCGGCATGGCACCCGCGGGCGGCTGGCGGAACCGCTCGCCAAACAAGCGCGTGTGGTGCTCCGGCAGCGGGCGGTCCACACGGGCCACACACACCGTGAAGCCGCTGAAAACGGGGAGCAAGTGGCGGCGAATGTCCAAGTCGTTATCTGCGCCGGCGACCCAGCGTGCGTGGAGATCGGCGACAGCTTCAGGCGACACAAACGCAATGTCGTGCCGGTACCGCACGGAGTACTTGTACTTTTCAGTCCGGCGGCCGCCCACAACCAAGTAGTCCACCAGGCTCATCAAGTCCGAATGGAGTGTTCCGCCCATGGCGGTGATCTGCGAGCCAAGCTGCTGCCGGTGTGCGGATACAAGGCCCGTGCAGCAAAAGTTCATGCCCAGAAAGGGCTTCGACATGATGCGTGAGAGGCGTGTAGGAGGCGTGTAGGAGGTGTGGTGTGGGGGATGCTTTGCCGATGGAATCTGATGACTGGAGCATAGGTTGGAGTGGTTTGTACTGTGTGCAGGCGCGACGCGTCGCAGACTAGAGCTGTGAGCGGGTGAGCGCAATGAGAAGGGTCCGGATGTGAGGGTGTTTTGATTTGCAGCCAACGCCCTTTCTAGGCCCAGTTTTGTGTTTTCCAAAAACGTTTTGTTATATTTTTCTTAAATCTATCCTTGACTTCTCTCCTTGTGTTTCTGGTCTTTTGTGCTTGCTCTTTTGACCGCTTCGTAGTATGTTGATGTTAGAAGTGGATGTGCTTTGATCACGTGTTTATCTTTTATCTTCAAGTTTGTCGTTTGTCTTTAGGTTTGTCGTTTGTCTTTAGGTTTGTCGTTTGTTTTTGGTTTGTCGTTTGTCTTTTGTTTTGTCGTTTATCCTTGGCTTGTTGCTCATCTTTGGATTTGTTGTCATCTTTTAGTCTGTTGTTTAGCTTGTTTGTTTAGACAATTGTTAGTCTGTTGATCAGTTGATTGTCTGTTTTCGTATCTTGCTTTCATATGATTTGCATCCCCTGTTTATTTCCTGTTATATTTTCCTTCACAAGGCTAACTTTCATAATACTCCTCAATTTCTACAGTTATGATTCAAACCATTGATGCTCTCAGACTGCAATTATAGTAAGAGATTTGAGGATATGCCGCCGGGGCGAGTTTCAAGCCGCAAACCCCCGTGCCTCCCGAATATTCCAGCAGCTGGGAGGGCACGTCACGTGTCGCATGGTTCAAACCAAGATGAGACAAACAGCTTAAACCCAAGAGCGCCTGATTTCTTGCACGTGTTCGATTAGGATGCAGTGGAACAGACTCTGTGGTAACGAGATTCTTTTCTTCTGTTTCCTACTTCTGATTTTTATCTTCTGATTCCGATGTTCTGGTTTCAAGGGTCCTGTTTCTTGACTTCTTGCTGACTGAAGTTTTGTTTTGACGCGGTTTTATGCTTGATGCTTCTGGTGTCTTCTTTTGGCATTCTTCTTTTCTGAGTCCCTTGTCTTGCATCCTTTTTTTTGCATCCCTCTTTATTGCATACATCTTTATTGCATCCTTCTCACCGTTTCAGATGTTCAGTAGTCATTGCTCTCGAAGAGGAATGTTTGCAGCCACGCCCAACGAGACAGTGGCCTTGTTTCTCATCATGCCCTAATATACCCGCCCAGAGGACATTTCAGTCTCAAGCACAACCTCTACTCACTGTATGAAGAAATTTCCATAACTAAGCTGGTTCGCGCATCACCATATCATGTCACTAATAAACAGCATGTCACTAATAAACAACATGTCACTAATTAAGACCAGACCAAAAAGTCCGACTGGCATCCCAACCGAAAGTCGACAAACTACTATTTACTTCGGCATGACTCGTATCCCACTGGATCATGAAAACAAGGCACAAAACCCGGATACGAAGACCTGCTTTCAGGCATACAAAGACCACCCCCAGCGTTTTGATTGCTCGCCGAATTTCGCGACGCTCTCCAAACCTCGCGTGGGCCAGGCGAACAGGCGCATCACGTGACCCCGTTTCCCGGCCGCCACAATCATGGGTCCTGACCAGCTGGTTCCAAAAGTGGTGTAGCGGGCCCCGGCAGCCTTCTTCTTCCAAAGGAAATGTGCAGAATCCTTGCCGTTTCCAGGCAAATGAGGCTTTGCATCCAGGCACCTCCACAGGGGCGGGCCAAACATGCGGCGTTTGTCGGGGGAGATATTTCGTTGCACCCAAAAGCCGTTGTTTTAGCGCGCTACAATAGTACGTGGGGAAATACACGAACAGACAAGGGTGGATGGCCATTGGTTCGTGGCATCGTTTCTGGGGCGTCCGTTTTCCGGCGTCGTTTTGGGAAATGCTGCTACAGGCTTATTCTGTGGAAACAGTATTTTTTCTGGTCAAACTCGCCACGAAACATGAGAACCACTAATTACGAGCCAACCAATGGGCCCGTCCCGCGGCGGACGTACCAGGCACCTCGTATCCGCATATTTATGTTTCTTCTTTTTTTAGCCCGAAAAAGCTTGGCACGCCGCACGAGGCTCCGGGGCCCACAGACCCATGTGGTTGGCGAGGACCACGGTACTGCACCCAACGCACTTGCAGCGGCCTGCACGAATAGGGGCAACACAAGAAAAAGGGAGGGGAAACCAAAACAAATACTCGGCTAAAGATTCCCGCGCACCCCGAGCCCGCGAGAATCCCCCGAATTATTCCGAAGCTTATTTTGAGCCACTGGAATTCCATGGGCTTCGGCTTAGAAGATCCTACAGATTTCTCTGATTCATGGGGTGCCTCAGATAAGGCGGAGCCGCCCGGCTCAAGCCCCCTGGAGGCCCTGCAATAATCCGCCCGATTTTCTGGATCCTTCTCTGGTGATCGCCGGGACTTGTTGCGCAATCATTGAAGGACATTATAGCGGCCTTGCATTCGTAGAATTCTTTGGAGATTTTCATATCGCACTAGTAAAATATCCGGGGGTTTTCGTAAGGCGCATAGTATCAAGCCAGAGCAAGCCAATGGGGGCGAATCAGCGGTGTGGGTGGGACCCCCTAATTCGGGCACCATAGATTTGCGAATTTCAAGGACTGAGAGTGCATATGTGGAAGCTTGTACCACTAAGCATCCCCCACTCGAATGAAACTGAGCAACTCTGCTTTTTTGGGTAAACTACGAGCAGATAAAGGTAGAGATACTAAATGAACAAATGGAAAAATAAGCAACCTTCTGGCCCCGTGAGTCATTAGCAACACTCGGTCGAGCAATCGAATGGTACCACCACCTCTGCGAAACAGGAAACCTTGCTTAGTTAGGAAGGACCGCCGTCATATAATCCCCATGGGTGTTTACTCTTGCCAGACTGGGACGACGAGCCGCATGTATCCTACACATACAAATTTGCTCCACTCACCATGAGTCGGCGCGCAAGCGTATTCTATATTTAGTAATCTCTTGTATAGAGTGGATCTCGACAAAATAGAGGAGGGAACTCCGAACCTAGTCAATACGCTCGTTCTTTTGAGCGCAGAGAGAAAACAAACAAAGACCAAGGAGCATATGCCCAGATCTATGGCCCGGGGAGTTTTCCTAGACCAGGAAGCGCCGGTGTAGCACAATCAAATGAGTGTGGAGCCAGCGCCGAAGTCTATTTGTTTTCCTTAAAGTTTCTCATTTCTGACCTTGCCTACTCTTTTTTCCACGAGGCCGCAAGCGCGCGCAGTGACGAAATGGCTTGTGCGCTGAGAGCGAATGTCTATGTACAGTACTCCCATAAGGAGGGTGAGCCAGGGTAGCAAGGGCCCTCTCTACAGAGTGCCGGAAAATGCTGTCTGCAAGGTGAGACGGTAAGGGCCATTAAAGCCCACTTCAAAAGCAGGTCAAATACCAGATGAAAGACTGGCTGGAGCAGCTGGCGTGGTCCTGGATCTCGTTTGGGTGGAGTGCCGATGTGCATGCACACGCGAACAAGCGCCAAGCACTTCGCGGTGCGCAATTCCGCCGGCCTGCACATGCGGCTGTTTTTGCTAAACACACATCCAGGACTGCCCCACGGCGACGCACGATGCGGATATGCCTGCTAATTAAAAAAACCGTATATAAGAGGCCCCGGCCCTCAGGCTACCAACACTTTTTTCTCCATTACAATTAATCAAGTCACTCGCTAAACATGCAATTCTCCACCGTCGCTGCCATCTCCGCCTTGTCCGCCACCGCCTTGGCCGGTTACCACAACGCCACCACCGTTACCACTGATGTCACCGTCACTGGCTACACCACCTACTGCCCAGAGTCCACCGTGATCACCATCACCACCTGTGACACTGTCTGCAAGCCTCACACCATCACCGTCTCTGAGGCCACCACCTTGACCATCACCGAGGAGTGTGTTGTCCCAACCACCTACACCACTGAGACCTACACTGAGACCATGGAGTGGACCACCGAGACCAAGGAGACCGCCACCTCCACTGCTGCCCCAGCTTACACTTCTGCCACCGTCTCCACCTACGAGGGTGCCGGTGCCAAGAACGTTGCTGGTGTTGTCGCTGGTGTCGCCGCCGTCGCTGCTGCTTTGTTGTAAGCGGAGAACTAGCTTCTTCGTGGATCTATAATTCACTTTCGGTATCAGGTATAATTCAATATTAAAATGTTTTTAATTATCGATCGTAGTCTCCCTAATAAGCTGCGCTATAATGTCTGGCTGCCTCGGATGGCTCTGCGCGCGGCGGCTGTTGAGCGAGGTGTTTGTTGTGTGTATTACCGCGCACAAGGGCCCTGTGCACTCCGGGCCACTTTTCTGCCTTGCAGGACGCACACTTGGATACGAGGCTTGCCTGGGCTTTTGGCCAAAAGACTCGGGCGACTGGTATGCGTTGCTGGTGAGCCTCTAGGCATTCTGATTGGCCGCTGCTGCATGGCGAGGGCAAATTGAGCGATTTACGCGGATGCCGGCCATGCAGCTAGTGCGCTGGGTGCAGCGCAAAACTTCCCCTATGAAACGTGCTGTATATGGGCAGGCCGGCAATGGGTGGAACTGTGGTGCCAGCATTCCCCGGCCTTCGACGTTTCATGATTTTTTTTGCTGCTATTCGTGAAACGCCAGTGGAACAAGCGCGTCACGTGCTGGGCGACATGTGATCGGCCAGGTCGTGTCATTGTTCATTGTACTTCTAAGTAAGCCCTCACTGCACTGTGAGTTTACTAGGCTTTGACTCGTAGATTTTTCGAACTCAATTGGGTAGTAGTTCTAAATCCTGACGATGCTCGAACGGGAACGTGCGACGTAATTGCAGATGGACAAGAACATGGTGTTATGATAGTGATCGTCGAATGAGGGAAGCACGCTTTTGGAATTACGGCGAGCCGCTTCTCCGTTCTGTCCCCTTGCAATTTTTTTTGGATAGTATGCTGACGGGCCCGTAGAATAGTATTAATATGTTTTGGGTTGCGGCTGCGGCCCCCTCGACCAGGCTTATGGGAGTTTATGCAGACACAAGGCTGGCGTTGCCGAATAAATTCATATATATCAATAATCTCGATGCGCCTTGGAAATAGGCACGGGCGGCTTGACGTACCGACTCCGCCCGAGGAGTTGTGAGATGTGTGTTTGAAATACAAATTAGATACCGAAAACAAGCTGACACTCTTGGAGGCAGACGTTGATGGAGAGATTGTGTAGTCCGTAGCATGAGTTTGTAGATGCCAGAGACAAGTTTAGTATTTTGAAGCGGAAGACTGGAGGAGCCGAGCTCAGCCGGCAATAAAAATTATGTTCTGGCTTGGATCTGGCAAGGCGTTTGCAGCAGGGTCACTGTAGAGCAAGCCATGCCTAATAAACAGAAAACGAGCGTAAACCCAGGCACACAGTCTGGCAGATTAGGAACAGTCAAGCAGAAAGGGGCATTGCTAACTGGGTAAACCTGTCTTGAAGATCACTATATTTTGATTTGACGGATGCGCGGACAGTGATTTGAAGCGGATTTGATATACCAGTGTAGATGCTGTCAAAGTACCGGAGACAATGATCTGGGTGGGCGAAGAAGTCTCAGATTAGTAATCTATGTTTTTGCGTTATCAATGTGCTTGATGAGACACATGCGTGTTGCAGATGGGCATTGGTGCATGACGTCGTTTATGGGCTAATCTCTGGTTTTAAAGCGAGTTTGTTTTTTCAGAGACAGCTGTGATGTCAAAGTTGAGATATTTGAATTTCAGAAGGTCCATGGTCTATGCTGCTTTGGGGTGTCGAAAATGATGTATGGAGTGTCGAAGGAGATGCTCATGAATGATGGAACCCATGAAGAGGATAGCAAGTAAGCATGCAATTCTTTTCGTTGAAAGCTGTGCGGCATGGACAATCGGAGGGGCCATGAATATTCGGTGCCTTTGGAAAATCTGGTGCGTATGAAAGCGTGATTTCCGGAATATCTGATGCTAGCTAGACCAGGAATCAAAAGCATGACTCGATTCTTTGGCATGTAAACGAGTTTTGAAAGAAAAGAAAAGCGGGGAGTGGAGGCGGCCTTAACGCTCCTATTCGAGCTCGTACTCGCTAAAAGGCTTGCTCCTTTTTTTTTGCAGTACGCGTTGAAAAGAGCCACTCTTTGTAAAAGAGAGTTGAAGAGACTGTTTGGATGAGAGAGTAGCTGTATGGGAGAGGCTGGGAATGGAACAGAGTGTGAAGGCGAACATTTGTAAAAGGTTATTTGGAAAACTGAGTATTTGTAAGAGGATATTTGGAAGAGAGTATTCTCAAGAGAGTGTTTGCAGGGGAGGATTTTTAAACAGGGTGTTTATGTAAAAAGAGTATTTGCAAAGGAGAGTATCTGTGAAAGAGAATATTTAGACGGTAGGCAGTATTAGGATGGAAGAGTGTGAAAACGAGTATTTTCAAAGAAGAGCCTTTGCACGAGAGTATCAGTAAAACTGAGTATGTGCAAGGGAGAGCGTTTTTATGAAAGATTTTTTGGACGGAAGAGACTAGCTGGATGGAAGAGAGTGAAAGAGAGTATTTGTCAAAGAGAATATTCATGAAAAAAAGAGTATTTATGAAATCAAGTATCTGAAGGGAGAACTAGGATGGAAAGAGTATTTGTAAGATGATATTTGTAAACAAGAGTATTTATGACAAAATGTGATTGTAAAGAAGAGTATATGTGAAAAGGAGCATTCATGATAGTGAGTATTTGTGAAAGAGACTATTTGGATGGAGGAGCCTAGTTGAATGGTCGAGAGAATTGGGATGAAAGAAAGTGTAAAAGAGAGTATTGGCAGAAAAGAGTATTTGAAAGAGAGTATCTGAACGAGAGAGTGTTTGAAGGAGAGAGTGTTTGAATAGTAGAGAAAATTAGGATGGAAGAGAGTACGAAAGAGAGTTTTAGTAAGAGATAATTTTCAAAAGAGGGATTGTAGAAGCGAATTTGTGAAGCTGAGTATTTCAATAGAGAGCCTTTGCAAGACAGTATATGTAAGGAAGCAATGAATGAAAGAGACTAGCTGGTCGATAGGGAGTAGTAAGATGGAAGATAAGAGTATTTGCAAAAGAGATTTTTATGAAAAAGAGTATCTATAAGAAAGGACTTGTAAAAATGAGTTTTTGTAAAAGAAACTACTTGGATGAGAGAAACTATTTACATGGTAGAGCGTTGAGGAGAGTGTGAAAGCGAGTATTTGTAAGAGCGTATATATAAGAGAAGAAAGTATATATCAGAGAGTATTTGTAGAAGAGATTTTTGTAAGGTAGTATTGAGATGGAAGAGAGTATTGGTATTAGAGTTCTTGTAATAGACAATTTGCAACAGAGTATTTGTACTGAAGTATTTGTAGAAGAGAGTGTTTAAAAAAAAGAGTATTTCTAAAAGGGAGTCTTTGTGAAAAGGAGTATTTGTGAAAGAGGCTATTTGGATAAAAGAGACTAGTTGGATGGTAGGGAGTATTAGGATCGAAGAGAGTGTAAAAGCGAGTATCTGCAAACAAGAGCCTTTGTATGAGAGTATTTGCAAGAGAGTATAAGAGTGCTTGGATAGTAGAGAAGAGAGTATATGTAAAGAGTATTTGTGGAGGGGTATTTGTTAAATTGTTTGGGAAAAAGTATCAGTGAGAGAGTATTTGTAAAAGATATTAAAGAGCCTAGTTAAATAATGGAGAGTATTGGGATGAAAGAGAGTATTACAAAAGAGAGTATTTGTAAAAGAATGTTTTTGAAAGAGTACTTGTAAGAGAGTACTTGTAAGAGAGTACTTGTAAGAGAGTATTTGTAAGAGAGTAAGAGTGCTTGGATAGTAGAGAAAATCAGGATGAAGAGAGTACGAAAGAGTATCTATAAGAGAGTATTCGTGGAAAAGTATTTGTTAAAGAGTATTTGGCTATTTGGGAAAGAGTGTTTGTAAAAGAGACCTTTTGGATGAGAGATACAAGTTGAATGGTAGAGAGTATTTGGATGAAAGAGACTAATGGATGGTAGAGAGACCTTTTGGATGGGGGAGTCTTGTTGAATGGTAGCGAGTATTAGGATGGAAGAGAGTATTTCCAAAAGAGGTTTGCAACTCAGGTGGAATTTCCTGCTTGGCCTCTCTCATAATCTTGCACAAGTCACCACCCATCTTGGGGTTGGCGTCAGTGAAGAAGGAAACAGCGGTACCAGTGGTGTTGGCTCTACCGGATCTTCCGATTCTGTGGACTTAGTATTCAATGTTACCTGGCATGTCGTAGTTGATAACGTATGTGATATCCTTGACATCTGAAGGATGTTAGTATATCGTGTGGCGGGGTTAGCCAAGCTCAGTGATGACCATATCTACGTTCAAAAGAAAAGGAGTTCGATTTGTATTGATTACGTAGAAAGCACGGTTGAACTGGCCAATCTGCATGAAAGTGTGAAACATAAATCTGTTGTTTAGCCCCAATGAAGAGTCGCTGGAATCACCCAGTACAGATTTCAACAAGGCCAAAATATTGTAGTGCCGCCCGCTTGTCATAAGAAGAGAATCATGTAATAAGTTCATTCGATGTCACCCCAAAAAACAACAGTGCATCTCTTCATCATGGCGCCACAAATCCAGTCAGTATTTTCAATTTCGTTGCGTTTTAGATCGCCCTCGATCGTATCGATTTATTTCGCCCTCTTGCGAGGTGAAGCTTTCTCGTAATCTGTCCTCTCTAGTCTCCTTTACTGACAAAAAAACCTGGCCAGCAGGATAAAAATTGTCAGTTGTCGTTCCGTTCCCATTTGATTTTGATGTTCCTTTGACGTTCTCAGTGTCATCATAAACTGTGGTTAGTAGCAAAGTGCAAGCAAAAAAGTTATACATACCAATATCTCTGGCGGCCACGTCGGTGGCAACCATGATGGGGATTTACCGGATCTGAATTCCTTCAAGACCCAGTCTATTTCGTGTTGATCCTTGTCACCGTGGATGGCCAACGCAGGCCAGCCATCTTGTCTCAAGTAAGAGGTGACCTCGTCATATGCTCTCTTTGAAAGAGGTTTTTAAAAAATGTATTTGGAAAAGATTGTTTTTGAAAGAGTACTTGTAAGACAGTTTTGTAAGAGTATAAGAGTGCCTTGACAGTAGAGAAAGTCAGGAAGGAAGAGAGTAAGAAAGAGTATTAAGAGAGTGTTTGCGGAAAAGTATTTGTTAAAGAGTATTTGGGAAAGAGTCTTTTTGAGAGAGTGTTTTTGAGAGAGTGTTTTTAAAAGAGACCTTTTGGATGAGAGATACAAGTTGAATGGTAGAGAGTATTTGGATGAGAGATACAAGTTGAATGGTAGAGAGTATTTGGATGAGAGATACAAGTTGAATGGTAGAGAGTATTTGGATGAGAGATACAAGTTGAATGGTAGAGAGTATTTGGATGAAAGAGACTAATGGATGGTAGAGAGACCTTTTGGATGGGGGAGTCTTGTTGAATGGTAGCGAGTATTAGGATGGAAGAGAGTATTTCCAAAAGAGTTCTTGTGAAAATGCATTTGGGAAAGATTGTTTTTGAAAGAGTACTTGTAAGAGAGTACTTGGGAGAGAGAATTTGTAAGAGAGTGAGAGTGCTGGGAGAGTAGAGAAAGTCAGGATGAACAGAGACGAAAGAGTATCATAAGAGAGTCTTTGTAAAGAGTATTTATGGAGGAGTATTTCCAAAGCCGAGCGTTCCAAAGATGAGTCTTTGCAAGAGGAATCCCCGCCGGATCCATGACCTGACGGAGCCCACCGAACGTCCGAGGCCCATGGATAGCTGGAGCCACCAACCATCACATGTGGGGAGCTCCAAGTCCGTATATCTGCGGCGCAGAAACACGCAGCGTGCATGGAAGACAATGCCTGTGAGCCTGAATGCACAACCCCGCCGTCAGCGGAGCACGGCTCCCGGAGTAGTCAGGCATCAGCACCGTTGACGGTGCCGATTTGCACCCACCCCCGGACCTAGCAGGCCCCCGGAACCCGCAGAGCCACACCCCCGGAACCCGCAGAGCCACACCCCCGG